TTTATGATAGGGCCAAATGACTTTTAAATACTAAATGCTATTTTAAGTATCTAGTTTAAAATGTATTCAACATCATCCAGCTTTTGTTTTTTAATGTTATTTTTCAATTTAATATTAATTGATCATGTAATAGCTAAAGAATTAAATAAGGATTTGAGTTCTTGATTATATAAGATGAAGTATTTATTTCTGTGATAATGTACTTAATGTCAAATCTAATGCAGTTATGTCACCTGCCTTTAATACCAATGCCTTTTGTGCAAGTAGCGAACTTAAACCAAGTCATAGTCCTTGTATGTTATTTCTGTTCTTCCCCGGCCAACTCTAACATCCACATTCTGTTCTGTAGAGCTCATGGCACTTAAGAAAGATAATCTTCCTCTTTACTACACTGAAAAGAACTTTCCTCTTTAGGAAGCAAGCTCTGGGAGGCAGAAGCTAGGCTGGGTATATTCTATATTTTGCTCAGCTGTCCAAAGGCTCAAACAATTGATGAAGTTCAAAGAGAAATAAAGGAGATTTTCTGAAGCAAAGTGATCTACTCTTTCTGTTCCAGCATGATGTGGAAGAGAACAGCTGGTGGGTATAATGACTGTAATTTCTTAACAGTTATGTTAAGTAAATAAATGCTTCTGGGCTTTTTTAGCTTAGATAGATTGAACAGAAAAACATTTTTTGTTACATGGAAAAATTTTACTTAAAACATTATGCTAGTATAATTTCTTATTCAGAATGAAAAAAGATGTCAGAAAAATTATGCCTTTGACTATGAAAGAAAATGTGAAGTTTGAAATCATCTTACCTCCCACATTGAAATTCACCAAAACAGCATTCAAAAAGAATGTAGATTTAAAATTCTAGTGTGGGTGGCTAAGTGTTCGTAGCACATTCTGACTGTTATTGTAGGTAGGCATTTGAATGTAATGGCAGAACATGTTAATTTAAAGGAAATTAGAACTTTAAATGACACTGTTAAATTAGTCATCAAAAAGGATTAGTCACCAAAAATGACCAATGCTTTCTTTCAAATTTTAAATAGTAATAATCAGGGGCGCCTGGGTGGCTCAGTGGGTTAAAGCCTCTGCCTTCGGCTCAGGTCATGATCCCAGGGTCCTGGGATCGAGCCCCGCATCGGGCTCCCCGCTCGGCGGGGAGCCTACTTCCCCCTCTCTCTCTGCCTACTTGAGATCTCTGTCAAATAAACAAATAAAAAAAATCTTTAAATAGTCATAATCAAATAAAAGAGGCCAACTAAACTTTATTTAAAACCCCACTTAGGGGTGCCGTGTGGCTCTATTGGTTAAACATCTGCCTTTGGCTCAGAGCTTGATCCCAGCGTCCTGGAACTGAGCCCCACGTCGGGCTCCCTGCTCAGCACGGAGCCTGCTTCTCCCTTTCCCTCTGCCACTCCCCCTGTTTGTGGCCTCTCTCTCACTCATTCTCTCTCACTCATTCTCTCTCTCAAATAAAATCTTTAAAAACAAAACAAAACAAAACAAAACCTCCACTTAAAGAACCAGAAGGCAGAGCTCAGGTTTACTACCCTAGTGCGAAGAGAGGGGAGGGAGGTTCTGGAAAGAGGAGTCACAAAGACAGAACACCAAATTCTGTACACTTTGCCTAAATTGCCAGATGACCTCTGAACTATGAATGTGTGAAGCAGACTCAAGCATCCCAGCTAAGGCTGAGGGAACTGAAGGTTTCAGCTGCCATCGTTAACAACTGAGGTACAGCGTGGAGTATGTGGACAGCCAAAGTAACTGCCTGTTAAATCCTTATCAACCACAAACAACCTCTTCAGAGGGACATAACTGAATTGATAATATCTACATTTACTTAAACGTCCGTAATACATCTCAAAATTACTAGACAGTTAAAAAAGAGGAAAACATGACTCCCAATCAGGAAAAAAGAGAAAATTAATGATGATTAATCCCAAAATGATTTATATTTGGAATTCACAGGCAAAATATCAAAGCAGCTATTACAGCTTTGCTCAAGTACATAAAAAGAAAATATGCCTTCCAAAAGTAGGAGCGTTGGGTGACACAGTTGTTAAGTGTCTGCCTTCTGCTCAGGTCATGAAGCCAGGGATGGAGCCCCACATCGGGCTCCCTGCTCAGCGGGAAGCCTGCTTCTCCTTCTCTCCTTCCCCCTGCTTATGTTCCCTCTCTCGCTGTATCTGTCTCTGTCAAATAAATAAAATCTTTAAAAAATAAAAATAAAAACAAAAGTAAATAGGAAATCTCATCCGAGAAAGACGTAACTGTATAGAAATTTTAGACCTAAAAGATGCAATCTGTGAAATTAAAAAAAATCCCTAGCTGCTTTTACCAGATAACTGGAGAGAACATAGAAGAATCAGGGGACACACGTGTTGCTCTGTTTATACTGGGAGTAGGCACTCTGTCACATCAGGGGCAACAGCTGCACTTGTCAGGGTAGTATGAAAAAAATGTTTTAAGACTGCAAGTTTATACAGGAATCAGGGAACATAGAAAATAGATCAACAGAAATTATTCAATCTGAAAGTCTGAGAGGAAAAAAAAAGAAAGAAAACAAAAGAAAAAAGCCAAAACCTCAGTGAGTCGTATATAGTAGCAGGAGGTGTATATATATATATTTGATTGGAGTTCAGGAGAAAAAGAATGGGGAAGAGAAGTATTTGGAGAAATAATAACCCCCAGTTTCCCAAACTTGGTGAAATATGTAAACTTACAGATGTTAAAAGCTCACAAAACACCAAGCAGGTTAAGTATGAAGAAAATTATGGTGAGGCTCATCATAACGAAATCACTGAATGTCAAAAATAAAGAGAAAAATGTGAAAGTATCGAGAGAAAAATGACATCATACATAGGGAAACATGCAAGGGAGCAAAGAACTGAATGATTTCTGCTCCATCAGAAACACATGGAAGCCAGTACACATGGAAAGAGGTAATTTTTAACAAACATCTCTGTGAGCAGCACATGGGTCCAAGATATTCTTTTTTTATCCATTCTGGAAATCTCTTCTTTTTAATCAGTAACACTTAATGAAATTATTAATATAAAGAGATTAAGGTCTCCTGCTGTGACTTCTTTTGTGCTTCATTTGTAACCTCTTTTGGAAATACAAATTACATAATAATGGTAACAAGATAAAAAAAATGGGTGCAAAAATATGAGTAAGGTCTGCTTATTAAATAAGAGCATCAAATTAGCATTAATTTCTTGATTTTGATAACTGTACTGTTATCTAAGTGCCTATCCATGTTCTTAGGAAATGTACACTTACATGTGTAGGGGTAAAAGGGCATCATGCTTGCAATCTATTTTCAAATGGCTCTGGAAAAATATGCATAAAAAATGAAGCACATAATTACAGAATTTGGTTGAAGGAAACACTGGAAGATTTTGTACTTTTAAATGTAAAAATAAAACATTACAAAGCAAAAAGAGGGGTCAGAAATGAAATGTTATCCAAATTCTAGTTGAGTGTGAATGATCACCTTGTATGAAGGAAATGAAATCTATTATTCTTGCATTTTTTAAAATTAGGGAAAACAGACACCATCACAAATTTACACATGAGTAAAATGAGGTCCAACTGACTTCCTTAAAGTCACTATGATGTAAAGACCTGTTTCAGCAAAATAATGGATGATAAAAATGAAAAATAAACTTGACTTTTATTTCAGTGTTCAAGAAAGAAAGAGGACATGTTAACTAAACCCCCAAGGTAAGAAAGGTAGATCGATCACCCAAAGACCAACCGGGATGCCTAATCCATATGGAGAACTGCACTAGCTACTGCTGGCGTTCAGAGAGGTATCACCATGTCATCCAAGGCTAACACTGTCAAAACAGACAATACAAGATGGTAAGTACTACATTTTCAAGTAAATTCTAAGTAATTTTCAAGTGAACTCTTGTTGAAAGAATCTAGTTTATTAGTTATCTATTACCAGTAATGTTTTCACCCAGTAAATGTTGGCCATGATCTGAGCCCAAGGAATGCTTAACCGACCAAGCCATCCAGGCGCCCCTCTAACAATATTAAACTTGTTATCATTAACCCAATCTTTGCATTTTAAAAACAGAACTGAGCTGGACTTGACCTTGAAAGATGATCTGGTTTAGAAAGCCTATCACCACAATCATAAGGCCGTAATTTTAAAATCCCATTTTAAAATTCGCACTCTGACCCCAAGATGGATCCCTGCCCATTGCTTTATACGACGTCTCTGCCGCTGCACTTTGCAAGCTGCGGTCTCCTTTGCCAGACTGTGAGTTGCCAAGGCTAAGGCTCTAGCCCGGAGGTCTGCGCCGGTTCCCGCACAGGGGCGGGAGGGGGCGGGGACTAGTGCCCCGCGTCGTGCTGGCTTTCGAACCATCTTTATACTGTGCCCTTAAGGTTTCTAAACGCGGCCCGCGCGGGAACGTCTTAAGCACCAAGCACTTTTCAGCTTTTCTTGCCAAACTGGCGAACCACCACATTCAGCGTCTTGGCCTCCCCGTTAGTGGCGGAACTCGGCTCGTGGCTTCCCAGGGCCTGCGACTTCGAGGATCCCTCCCTGGAGTCACCCGAGTTTTCCTCCGAAGCTGGAGCTGCGCACGCGCCCAGCCCAGCACAAAACCCTCGCCCCTTGAGAGGAGGGCCGCGGAGGCGCCGGGAGGCCCTCGAACCGGGCCAAAGCGGAGGACGACCGGCGGTTGGCCCGCGCAGGCCCCGGCCCTCCCGCGCCAGCCGGGCTGCGTCCCTCTCCCCGTCGCCGCCCTCGGGACTTGTTATGGCGAGCGAGCGAAGGGGCGGAGTGGGGACGGCTGGGGTAGGCAGGACGCAGGACCGGCCGGGGGCTTCCCGCTCTGGACCGTCTGAAAATCCCGGGGGGCCTCCAGGACAGACGCGCCGGGCCCGCAAGCCTGACGCGCATCTCCCCTTGTTTAGATCGACTCTTCCACCCTTCCGCTTTCCTTTGCCGGGGAGGGGGTGGACTTCCGCTTTTAACTCGGAGTGACTTCCGGCAAGAGCTGATGGACTGAAACCAAGGCAGCACCCGGGTCTGCCGGCCACTCGGGGCAGAGACACGGAACCCGATGTGGGTTTCGCTAAACCAGTTCCGGGATCCTATTTTTTGGTCATGGTGTCCGGCGCTCGGTCCACCACGGAGTCCACCTGGGAGCCGCCGGAAGTCGCTCCGAGGAGAGACAGGAAGTCCCTCCCCTTCCTCCCAGAGGGAAGACGGTGAGCCGGAGGAGTCAGTCAGAGAGGCGAGCAGGAGCGATTCCGTCGGCAAACAGGTAAGTTATTCTCTGGCCGGGGCGGGGGGTTTGGAGGCGGGGACCGTCCAGCGTCAGCGCAGGGCCTGGGGGCGGTGGCTTGAGGGCCCGGGCCCGGGCGGCTGGGCGCCGGGAGCCCCGCCAGGGCCCTTCGCTCTTCCTCCTCCCCCCTCCCCCCGCCTCCGCCCCTCCCCGCTCGCCGGTCCCTCCCGACGCCGCCCAGCCTCGCCCGGCACACGCCCGCCGCCCGCGGCCTGGCCGCCGCCCGGCCTCCGCTCCCGTCTTCCCCCGCTCGCTGTGCGACAGTCTGCGGCCGGGCTCGCGCAGCCGGCGAGCCTCGGTCGCCCCGCGGGGCCGGCTGTCAGCACCCCTGCACTCAGCGGGGCGCTTCTTACCGCCCGGCTTGCCCCGGCGCGGGGCTGCGGAGGTGTCGGTTTGTGGTCTGGGCTGTGGTTTCCTCCTGCGCCCGCCCACGCCCAGGTCACCCCCAGATGCACCGATGCGCCGCTGCCACTCGCGCCTCTTTCCGTTAAGGACGCTGGGCGGGCGGCTGGTGACGGAGAGCAGCGCCACTGCAGTTGGAGGGTCCTGGCCCCTCGCGGTCAGCGTCTCCGGACGCCAGGGGGAGGCCCGGGCTGCGGCGCACGGCTGCTTGCAGCGGCGGGTTTTGCCCTGGTAGACACGCAGCTCTTCCAGCCAGAGAGCACGCCCTGAGTGTGCCAGCCCGTTTTCTGGAGATTAGTCCTGGTGGAGGTGGCCCAGGAGCTCCGGACCCCTGTGGGGTGTAGGAGTTGTGAATAGCCCTTCTGTTTCACCGGGGGGGTTCAAGAATGGGAAGGGCATCCGTGGACACACGTGTAGGATTTCTCTATTTTATAGGTAGTCATAGGCCTGATGGTGACGGCCTTGCAACTTTACAGCCAGCGCTGGTGGGGCTAGTCACCGTACGCATCTGTTCTGCGGCGAGGAGTTCGGTCCAGCAGGGGCCCCGGGCGGGGAAGGGCACCGACGCATTGATTAGACCATCATTTCTGGTGTGTACTCCACATGCTTCAGTTAGCACAGCAGTCTCATAGAGTAGGAATTAATTCTTCCCTTTTTTTCACTTAAAACCCAGTTTAACGTGACCAACGTTAGTGTCAGAATTCAAATCTCAAGTGTTAGTTACGCATTCTTCCACAAGTTCCTTACAGTCGAGGTGACTAACTCCTGTTGACATGTCTGACAACAGTAAGGCAAGGTTCTCCAGCAGCTGGTCTTTCTGTAAGGCAAGTGTGACTGACTGTTGCTGATAACGCAGTTGCCACTGGTGTGTTTTTAAAAAACTGTATTTTGGAATAATTTCGGATTTGCAGAAAAGCTGTAAGGTAGGACAGAGTTCCACTGGCATTCAGTAACGTGAAGTGAGCCAACAGTGGTCCCTGCTTATTTCCAGACACCACCATAGGTGCTGGTGTTGGCAACGCACTGTGATTTCAGGATCTGCTTGAGGAGGCAGATACAGAAACAAATGGAGTGCGTTTTCCTAAGTGCTAACGTGGCGATGCATAGAGCAAAGGATGTCTGACTGCCTGGGAAGCAGACTGGGTGAGGGCTCTCAGGATACAGGGTTTGAGTTTGGGGCCCAGGATTAGCTGGCATTCACTTGCTTCATGGGGTCTTTCTCCCAACATTGACTTTAATTGGGTTTGTGTTGTTAGAGGAGAATTATGTGACCTTTGTAAATTAGACTCTCCCCACATCTCAGAGAAGGGGTTTTGTATGACAGGTTTCTTAGGTATCACAGTGGTGAGAAGAATCCCAGTTCATAAATCCACAAACAGGAGAAGAAATTAGGCTGTTTTTCTTATGCAGTAATGGAAATGTCTAGTTCTATACGTTTTAAAATTCTTTATTTTCAAACTTGTTAAATACTTTCTGTGGTCAGATCATACATGTTCTTTGTGCAGGGTTGGGGGCATAGTTCTTCTGAGCTATAACCTGGTGTGTTAGAACCCCATACCAGAGGGGACATTTGAGTGAGTGTCTTAGCTCGGCTGCTAGAACAAAATAGGATAGCCTGGAGAGCAGAAACCACAGAAATTTACTTATCGCAACTCTGAGCGTGAAGTCCAGGATCAAGGTGCTGGTTCCTGGTGAGGACTCTTCCTGGTTTACAGATGTCCCCTTCCTTGCTGTGTCCTCACACGGCAGAGAGAGGAACTCAGGACTCTTCTCCACTTCTTTTTTTTTTTTTTTTTTAAAGATTTTATTTATTTGACAGACAGAAATCACAAGTAGGCAGAGAGGCAGGTAGAGAGAGAGAGGAAGGGAAGCAGGCTCCCTGCTGAGCAGAGAGCCTGATGCGGGGCTCGATCCCAGGACCCTGGGATCATGACCTGAGCTGAAGGCAGAGGCTTTAACCCACTGAGCCACCCAGGTGCCCCTCTTCTCCCCTTCTTATAAGGACATTGATTCATCATGGAGACCCTACTCTCATGATCTCATTTAAATCTAGGTACTTCTCAAAGGTCACACCTGCAAATACCATCACAATGGGGATTATGGATTTAACATATGAATTTTGGGGGAGGACACAATTCAGTCTATAGTAGCTGGATTTCTTGGAGATTTTGTTATGTGGAATTCCTCCCGTACAGACTTGTTTATTCGAATAAATAGGCAACCATAAAGTCAGCATTTGTATTGCTTTTGCTAAAGCAAACACAATTTTACCTAAATAAGACATTACACACACACACACACACACACACACACACATTTATTTATTTATTTGTTTTTTGAAGATAGCACATGCATGAATGGGAGTGAGGTGGGTGAGGGAGAGAGAATCCTGGAGCCGACTCCCCACTGAGTGTGGAGTCAAGTCTGGGCTCCATTCCAGGACCCTGAGATCATGACGTGAGCCAAAGTCAAGAGTCAGTAGTTTAATCAACTGAGCCATTCAGGCACCCCTTCTTTTAGATATATTGAATGTGATTCAGAGACCAGTTGAGGGAAAGAAGAAATTTAGATTGTTTCATTTTGATGAAAAAGAAAGATGTGGGGAAATACCTGGGTGGCCATTTCACTTTTAGGCCTTATAGGAGGGACTGCCTTCCTAGATCGATCAAATCTTGGTCTGAGGCGTGTGGTGGTGATCTGTTCCAGTTCCGTGGTCCTCCTGTAAGGAGGCTGAGCCCCCACAGAAGCTGAGTAATCTGTCTCAGAGATTAGTGGCGGAGCAGGGATTAGAATCAGGCTTCCTGATTCCCAGGCCAGTCTTTCTGTTTCCATCAGTGGTTCTCAAAGTGAAGGTGCAGCTGAGTCACCTGGAGAGTGTGTGAAAACACAGCTGCTCAGCATGCCCAGAGCCTCTAACTCAGCAGGTGTGGACTGGAGCTGAGAATCTGCGTTGCTGACCAGCTCCTCCTGGGTGATGCTGAAGCTGTGGGCTCCAAGGTCACACTTTGACACCTCTGGCCATACACGATGTGACCTTAGATCTCTTAGGAGAGTAAGTAAGCTCCATGGGTTTATACCAGTGTAAACTTTTCCCTGCTACTCCGAAAATTGGGTGGTTTAAATTTGTGTTACAAATAGCAGCGCACCAAAACCATAATGATTAAAAAAAATAAATAAAGGACTAGAAATATAGTGTTTCTTGGAGAGAGTCATTTTGGCATTTCCAAGGATAATTTTTGGAGATAATTCTAGAGGTCAAAACCACTTACTATTGAAGGGGATTCACATGAGCTGTGAGTGTCCTCTATCTTACTGATATTTGCACTAAAAAGGCGTCCGTATTAATTGCTAGGTTGTATAGGAGTGAAAAATTATTCCAGTTTTGTTACTGTATGCTTTCCTCTGTTGTGTTCTAAAATGTTCATTCCTTATATATCAAAATATTATCAGGCTCTAGCAGTTATGTAGCCATAGTAGATGTTAAATAAATGTAAGTTGAATTGAATTAAAAAAGATTAAGGGGGAAAATAAATTAGGCCATTTATCTGGAGAGATTTCAGTACCCTAGGAAAATGACTGTATTTTCTACATTATCACAATTACAGGCTTTTATGAAATAATTACAGTTTATTCCAGCATAAGCCCTGTTCGCAAATATTGGAATTTTTAAGCACAATTTTGGGGGATGTAGCCTGTTTTTATGTTACAGGTAATGAGTGATTCATCTCATACCTTTGTGTATTGTTTATCTGAAATGATTTGCAAACAATTTATACTTTGAAATAATTTGAGAATTACAAAAAAATTGCTAAAGTAGTTCAGAGAGCTTCTGTATACTTTTCAGCCAGCATCCCTTTATTAACATCTTATGCATCCATAGTGCAGTTACCGAAACCAGACAGTTTCTGGAGACTTTGAGGTTCACCACCAGGTGCTTTTTCTGGTTCAGGACCCAGTGCAGTATCCCACATTGCTGTACGGTACTCAGTCTCCTTAGTCTCTTCCAGTCTGTGACAGCTCCTTTTGGTTTTCTTTATTTTTTATGATCTTTATACATTTGAAGAGTGCTGGTCAGTTATTTTGTAGAATGTTTTGATTTGTCTGATGTTTTGGATTTGTCTGATGTCCTTTCATGAGTAAAGTGAAGGTAAAGCTTTTTGGCAGGAATACCACGGCGATGAAGTTGTGCCCTTCTCAGTCTCGTGTTGGGACGTACATGAGGCAGATATGTCTTATCACTAGTGAATGTTAACTTTGATCTCTTGGTTGAGGTAGTGTGTGATAGCTATGCTTTAAAGTTAAAAATTTTCCCTTTGAAATTAATGACTCTCATCACTTCACTAATCTTTGGTGCAGAAGTTTAAAAAGAAATGAGCATATAATGTCAGAATCCTTTGAGCCTCTCCCAGTTGTGAGATATTTCTTATCTTGGGAGCTTTATTCTTATTTGTTAGACACAAACGTAGCAGGGAAAGGGAAAAGTGTAGGCCCTTGGAACAATGGTCCTCTGCTCAAGAACTCGTACTTGGTCTTGGTCAGTCTCAGTTTTGAATTGGAAGGAATGGACGCTGTTTGTC